GCAACTATGGCCTTGTGCGGTTCCCACGTCAGAGTCATACGCTCCACTGTCGGCCTCAGACTCCAGTAGCTGGACCACCATCTAGCCGCATCGCCCTGTATTTTCTGGACCACTCGTCGACGGTCTTGTCGCCTTGCCAGAGGTTCTAGAAGTGTCGCTCCCTCCGTTCGCGGTAATGCTCTGGATAGTACTTTTCAGTAACTATGGCCTTGAGCGATTCCCACGGTAGAGTCGTACGCTCCGCTGTCGACCTCAGATGCCAGTAGCTAGACCACCATCTAACCGCATCGCCCTCCGTTTAGAATTGGATACACATGATTTTATGGGTCTCTAAAGAGCGCAGAAGCTCGAAAATCCTCTACAACTTCAAGAACCACTCATCTACAAAACCGGGCTCTTCCTGCCCATTGAAAGTGGGATGATGCATGTTGGAGAAATGAGTTACTAGTTGCGTCTGGTCAAGTCCCGGCATGTGCTGACCCTGACCGTCGATCTGTGCTCTGCGCCCAACTGATGTTATGATCTAGTACAAGGTGTATTCTAAAGTAAAATATTAACTGAAAACTTAACTAGTAGAGAATGTGATCTTTTATTTTTTGACCAGTAAAGGTCACCTCATACTAGAAAATATGCTCGTCATGGCCCAACTTCAAGCCTTCATGGTCTACCCGGACTTTGTGGCTCGCATCCATGGTCTACCCGGACTTGTGCTCTTATACATTGGGAATCTGTTACTACATATACTCGCTTGAAGGCACTTTGCTCAAACTAAAACGAGGTAATCTTTAGAGTCAAAATTTAACTCAAACTTAACTAGAGTTCAAAGGTCTTTTAATTAGAGGTTAGGTCCTAAGGCTCATTTTATTCTCAAGTATGCAATCATGAACATGCTGAAAATTCTTCGAAGTATGAAATGACTTGAAATACATACCTTGGAGTTAGCATGACACGAAGGAGGTGAGTGGTCGATCTTTCAAAAATTTTCCTAAATTTAAATTTTTTTCAAGTCTATAGAATCATATACTTGCTTTGGTACCACATTGTAGTGCACTATTCCCCAATGATTTATGCCATATTTCTAGGGACATATTACAAATGACATTTTCTATCATTTATTCCTTCCAAATGTAAAGATCCAACCAGCTCTTATATTCAAGTCTTTCATCATTCTCTAGGTCTTGTAAACAGTAACTTGATCCAATGAAAGTCCATTTGACCCTCCCTATTTGCACACATTTGCATCACTAACATCAAGTTATACTTAAAAGTCGACACAAACAACACATCATGGAGTATTATATTCTTACTGATCATTACATCACTCTTTACTTTCTACATTTTTCAATGCGCCATCAAGTAAACATATCACCAATGGTTCATATAATCTCCTCAGATTTTTTATAATCTTTTCATCTCTGCATATGTGTCTACTTGCACCAGTGTCAATTATCTACTTATCACCATAAACAACCTTTACAGTTGATAGTGTATAATATATGTCTTGTGTTTCATTCTCACTTGTAAAACTCACAAATTGTGCATAGTCAACCTTGTTTTCTGTCTCTTCCTTCCTCTTCTCATATTGAGTAAGCTCCTGTAATTGATGATCTTCTTGATTGTACAAATCAGGTTTCTTGGAATCCTAGAAATTTCCCTTCCGCCTTGCCTGATCTTCTTGATTGTACACATCAGCATTGTTAATATATGACCTTCCTTGTTGCTGCCTTAAATTCTTGCACCATTCTAGAATTCCATGCACCTTTAAATACGTTGCAATGGTTGTCCATTCATACCACACTTCTCATAAACAAATTTAGCTTTCTCTTCTTTGCCAAGCTTGTTTCCTCCTTTACCCTTTCCTCCAGCCTAGTGTCCTCCATAATAAGATTATTTTCCTCAATTATCTTCTCTACCCTGAGTAATGCATCATATTCCAGATCATCCAGCTCTTACTAACATAGCAACATTGTCCATTTTATCACCATAGGCACTTTGAATTGTCCTTTGCCTTTTAGCGGTTAACACCATTGAGTATGTCTTATTCATAATAGGTAACGACTCAAAGCATGATTTGATTCTTCAAATTCTCGTATCAATCATCCAATCCCATTAAAAAGTGGATCAATTTGATCTCTGATTCATATTGTGCAACTATTTTCCCTTTATCACAGCCACACATCTGCATGCTATACAAGCATACTCATCCCACAACTTTTTGAGTTTGTTAAAGTACTCCATATCAGTGTTGTTTCCCTGAGTTAATTAAGTTTGAAATCTCTCTTTGTAATTTTTACATCATAGGTCCATTATTCTCTCCATGCCTTGGCATACATCTTCCCACAAATCCTTAAAATTTTTAGTATAGATAAAGGACTCGGCAATGTCTTATGCAAGAATTTAAGATCCACGATAACACCATCCAATCAAATTTCCTCTACAAAACATATTTCTCATCATTAACATCAAGTTTTGAGACTTTTCCATTGATAAAATCGAGTTTTGTTTTTGCAGCCAATGCTATGATCATTGATCATTTCCATGATAAAAATGGTTTTCGGTTAATTAATTTGAAACATGGACCATACCAGGATGATCGAATTCGTGCAGCATCATTGGATCTAAATCCGTCATCTTCAAGCTCGTCTCTGCCTTTGTTTTCGTAGTGAGGAGCAACCATGGATTTGTCCTTCGATTCTCCATTAGAACTTCCAATCACGATCTCGCATCTCTATGGATTTTGATTCAACTTACCCGATCAACTTCCCCAATATCATAGCTCATAGATACCATGTTGAATTGAAGATGAACTTGGGGAGAGAAATCTTCATTTTCGTCTCTGTTTTTAGCTCAATATTCCAACTGAAAAATACATACAAAGCATGAATAATATATACATTTTCCATGCTAACATGTTGAGGTCAAAACGGCATCGTACCTACTAAACCAAACGACACCGTTTAACTACTAAACTTAAGAAAATAAAAAGGAAAAAATAAAGCACGACTATATGTGCTGCTCAACAAAATCGAACATAAAAGAAATACAAAAACTGCTCCACAACACTATAACTTCAAGCTTCAACATTCTTCTCTTAGATTCTCGATTCGATTCATGCCCGATCAGCGACGTTCTTCACTAAATTCAATAGAGTTTGAGTTTCTTCTCAACCTTAGTGATGGAGACGAGGCCGCGTTAGCGTTTCTACAGAAATATGACCGTCTCCGAGTTTAGATTATTTATTTTCCCGGTCTTTGTCATTTGTCGGATTTTTATTCAGTATCATTTTTAGTTTTGTTATTTCTATTAGTGGGTCAGTTAATTAATTAATAGGGCAGTTATTTTAGAAAGTTAAAGAGTAGTGGACTCTTCTTCTTTTGTAACCACACAGTGAACATAAATCTCATTCATCGTATTATCATTTTGAGAAAACTGTGAACTGTTCTTGTGTTCTTATTCCCTTTCGTATACATCCTCTACATCACTTAGGCAGTGAATGGACTCTGGAAGAAGAGACATGAATTGTGGACCTTGATATCGAGGTCCATGTAGTGGATGTTGGCCTGTTGGGTGAAGCCCCTCAGGTTGGCCAGGTTGTCGCGGTTGAGAGCCTTGATACAATAAACGACATCCTCGAACTTGGCCAGGCACTCCTTGTGACATCGTGGGTGGCAAATCTTTTGGTTCAGGAGCATGGGAGCCTTAGTTGACTATTACCTCATATGGAGATTGTGCAACAATTGACCTTGATGAGGTTCTTGAATTGGATATCATGGACCTAGCTTCATAGCATGTTTAAAGAAGGTAGAGAAAGCGAATATTGCTAGTTGTTAATGAAAATTACACATGCGTATGAATGTGGATAAATTTGTCAAGCATAAGGTATTATTTAATAAAGTATCAATACATAATAGTTGGGTATTGATGTGGTAATATCAGCCAATTTTGGGTACCCTGATAACAATTTTGAATCTTAACAAATTATACAAACTAGTACAGAGCCCGTGCGATGCACGGGGTGCACAATTTTAAGGCTATTTATCCAGACTTATAATTATATACATGTATACAGAAAAATGTACGGGATATATATAGTACTGACCCGTGCGAGGCACGGGATATATTTATTTGAGGAATATTATATTATAAGATGCAATATTCAATAAAAGTTTAATAATAAGCAGGAAAATTGTACAATAAGATAGTATTCGACAAACAAACAATATATATTATTAAAGACCTCCTTGTACACAACATTATGAGTTTGATTTTCCATACAATAATAATACGATTTTTTGTAAAAAGATAAGAAGAAATTTTCAATCTACACAAACTTTAAACATTAGATGTATCTACGTAAATCAATGATTATATAGACAACTAAACCCTTCAATTTAGGCTTGACATCTACTTTATTTATGGGTGACGTAAAATAAGGATCTAATTTTGACCGATTAAATCTTTATTCATAGGCTTGACATATAAAACTGATTTGATGGGATTTTCTTAACTAAACCGATGCTATGGGATAAAACAAATCTATACTTACCTTTGACTTTTCCAGCAAAGGTAAAAAAATCGGTTCTGATTTTTATCCCATAATAAATCTTTAATGTCAAGCCTATAAATACCAAAACAAATCTGTAATTAATATCATTCTATTTCCAGCAAGCATTAATTACCTTTGACTTTTCTGCCTACTATTTCTAATAAATAGGATGACTTTTTATATAAGTATAGATGACAATAAAATTAAAAATTAATTATTTATTTATAAAGAATTTACAAATGTAGACAATATGATTATTTATCTTGCGACCGAACCTTGAACAAACATATGTCGATACATAATTATTGTGATTTAATGGGGATATAGAAATAAGTGTGCACAGGAAGATGAAGTGGGGGAGAAAACAGTTGGGTATTATTAAAAAAAACAAAGTAAAATTGAAAAACAAAAAAGAAACAATAGTGAAGACGCAAAGGAAAGAAAGGAACCCGTTACCAGTAAAGCCAAAGCGAGGTGGGTCCCATCGCCCCCAACCCACATTCAAATGGACTTTTGTATTTAAAGCTGTTACAAGGTCAACTCTCCCTACCTCACTGTCTGAGTCTGACACCCAAATTCCGAATTTGCCCCTTTCTCCAATCCAACGGCTCATCGCCTCCTTTTGACTTTTACAGCGCCCATTTTCGATCATCAATTCCACTACCGGTTCGCCGGTCCCCACCACCCTCCTATTAAAACCCGGTCAATGCTCTTCTCTCTCTTTTGAATGCAACGTGGAGCGATATCATTGGCTCTCCTTAACGTCAGAGAGAGAAAGTCCATTATTCCTTTGACTCTCCCTCTTTCTCCTCTCCGCCTATTTTTATCCTCATTTCAACTTATTTTCTCAGATCTCTCTCTCTCGTTTAATGCTTTGTAAGAGATGGCGGTAGAGTTGATGCCCGGATACAATCTCACGTCTAAAATGGAAGTCAGCGCCGCCCAGGAGGCTGCCGCCGCCGGCCTCCAGAGCGTCGAAAAGCTCATCAGACTACTATCTCCGGCCGCCGTCCACCCGGCCGGGGCCGGCGACTACCAGGCGGTGACTGACGCCGCCGTCATCAAGTTCAAGAAATTCATCTCCCTCCTCGACCGGACCCCGCAGACCGGTCACGCCCGGTTCCGCCGCGGTCCGCTCTCGAATCCGGTTCGGACGGCTGAACCTGATATCCCGTCGGCCAGGGCCGTAAAAGCCGACGAGGGCGGCCAGTGCTCGAGGGCCCACTTCCCGGCGCCGTCCCAGAGGCTGCCGCCGCTTCCGGCGGCGAAGCCAGGGCAGATCGAGCGGAAGGAGACGTCGACGACCATCAACTTCGCGACTCCGGCGGCGTCGTTCATGTCGTCGCTGACGGGGGACACGGAGAGCCTGCAGCCGTCGATGACGTCATCGGGGTTCCAGATCACGAACCTGTCGCAGGTGTCCTCCTTGGGCCGGCCGCCGCTCTCGACGTCGTCGTTTAAGAGGAAGTGCAGCTCCATGGACGACGCCGGTGGAAAGTGCGGCGGCGGGTCGTCTAGGTGCCATTGCCCCAAGAAAAGGTAGGAAAAAGAATTCAAATTGAACTCCACTATATATTACTTTAAACAAAAATCGGTCTTAATTTAATTTAATTAAAAAGTTTTACAACTCCGGTTATATTTTTTGGGGAATGATATCATGGTTTTTATGTTATTAATTAATTTATTATGGTTATTAATTATATAAATAGGAAATCGAGGTTGAAAAGGGTAATGAGAGTCCCGGCGATAAGCATGAAATTGGCTGATATTCCACCGGACGATTACTCGTGGAGAAAGTATGGTCAAAAGCCAATCAAGGGCTCACCTCATCCTAGGTAATGTTTTTTCTTTTCTTTCTCACCTTATTTTTCAATTTTCTTTTCCTTTTTCTATTTCTAATTTCCCCACAAATTTATGATTGAAGAAATCCTCCACTCACATAAGTCACAACCTTCTTTGCGATTTAGAAATTTTAGACTTGAATGATTTTTTTTTATTTTTTTTTTCTGAAAAGACAAATAACAACTCTAGAGTGATTTGTCGTATGGGGCAAGTTGCGCCATTAGTTAAAACTTAAAAGGAAGTAATTAATTGGTGAATAATTTGTGCAATCACTTTATTCGGCTAAACCCACCCAAGTCACAATATAGACCAATTGATAAATAATACTCCCTCCTTTTAAAATTAGATGTCGTTTTGACTTTTTTGATTCATCCATTTTGCTATGTATCTAGACATATTAATGTCTAGATACATAGCAAAATGGATGAATCAAAAAAGTCAAAACGACATCTAATTTAAAAAGGAGGGAGTATCAATGATTTGTTGTATAAACCAAATTACAGGACTATTTTTGAATGAAAAGCTAATCAGACATAGTAATTGGTTTGTAAATTACAGGGGATATTACAAATGCAGCAGCGTGAGAGGGTGCCCGGCCCGAAAGCATGTTGAGCGGGCCTTGGACGACCCAACAATGCTAATCGTGACATATGAAGGAGAACACAATCACGCACTCTCCAGTACAGAAGCACCTGCTCTGGTTCTTGAATCATCTTGATCTACATATTGTTATTATTATTTATTAAATGGACAAAAATGTCAATTGTGATCCAACGGCCCGGGTTTCATCCCACAAGAAATGGCATAAAGTCCGATCGCTACTCGTGGAAAAAGAAGATGAATATAGTCAACGCTGGGTGCATGCGAATCTGCCATTCTTTCTCCCAATATTGGAAAAATAAAATATATTTCATATATAAAGAAATTTGAGGTTCCATTT